GCGTATTCGCGTGTCGAAGGCAGCGGCGGCATTCGGGAAACTAGAGTAGCGAGTGTGGAACAACCATCAGTTTACCATTGGCACGAAGCTGATGTTGCACAAATCCATGGTGCTGTCCGTTCTTCTATACGGCAGTGAAACGTGGACGATGTACCGGCGGGATGTGCGATATCTCGAACGGTTCCATCAGCAGTATTTGCGACGGATTTAGCGCATCGGTTAGGGCGACAGAGTTGTTGACACGGAAGTGTTGCGACAAAATGGCATGTATGCAGTGGACTGCATACTTTTGCTGAGACACCTGAGGTGGCTCGGTAATTTGAGCCGTATGGATTCGACGAGGATATGGAAACAACTGGTATATAGTCAGCTGAGTATGGGGGAGCGGCATGCGGGGAAACCAAAGTTACGTTACTAGGACATGATCAAAGTAAGCCTTGCACGTTCTAATCTTGATTGCAGGTCATAGGAATCGAAGGCGGTTGATCGGCGTGCATGGCGCGGTCTGATCACGAAGGCAGTTGCCGAAGTGCGGGAGAAAGACCTAATACATGCAGAGAAGCGGCAAGTGCGAAAGCGGCAAGCACCGATGGGTTGTACTCCATCGACATCGAGCACATGGTGCTGTAGCACATGCGGTCGCGAGTGCCTAAGTCAGGCAGGCTTAGTGAACCATGAGCGGGGCCACTCGGGTTACCACCGAAGCGACGACGGGTCCTGCAGATAACGTAGGCAAAACCGGCGCAGCGTTTGTAAGTACGCTGTATTCGATTTATTAACAGCGTGTTTGAATGCTGGGTCTCATTATTTCAGGTGATGGGTTTGCTTTTCTTTCTCATATAAATGGCCACCTGTACTCCCTTCTATAAACTTGCACACGTCGTTTAAGCCAATTGTAGTTAATTTCGATAACATTTTCGTGTTTGTGGCATTTCCGTAAAATATACTTTCTGACCTCGTGAACTTATCTCGGATTCGTTTGTAAACAACTTATTTCATATGCTCATTAATTTAAGGTTTAGGTCATTGTTTCCTTATGCATTATTCGATTTATTATATTTGTTATCTTTCTCTCAAGTGAACGGCTGTTGCATGATATCTTCGGTGTGGATGCGCTTGATGTGCATGTTGACAAGGTGCCTACCTGTCTATTACCCACTATCTCGTCCATACTGGCTATAGGAGACAGTTGGTCGTTGCTGGAGGGGACGGGGTGTACGGTCCTTGTGACCGTGTTAGGATCAATGAGTGGTTCCATGTACTCAGTGTGGAGCGGACTACGGTCCAGCCACCATCTTGTGTGCGCTTGATTCCCAAATACAGCGTGTTTGTGTTCGCCTGTGAAGGAGTGTGGGCCGGCTCCGTTGATGAAACGTGGCTCCCATCTACATGTCTCCCGGTCTTATTCCTTCGGGTTTACACTGGATATTGGGTGTATGGTAGGGGCTGTAGATATTGCAGCGCAAGCCACCCATGGTCCCTCTGTAGGAGCAGGCGTTCTGTGGCTGGCCACAGTGACAGCCAAATCCGAAACTGGATGTCGCTAACCATCTGTATGTAGGTGTGTAACTGTGTTGCTTGAGTTTGTAAATGGATCGCTGTTTTTTGACTCTTTGATCGCGTCGCAATGTGAGCAGTGATTGAGGTCCGTGGATTGGACATGCTTATCAGGGAAAGCAAAGGGCAGTAGTTTGGTTTGTGGCGCGTCACAACCGCCAGGTCAGAATGTGCCTAAACAGACCTTTGTGGCTTTTTATAAGGAGAATACTTGACAGGCGAAAACCCACCACGTTTTGGAACACTGCCACCGAACTATTTGCTGGATGTGGTAAACCCGAACCACCCAACTGGCACCAAGAGGAGGTTCTTCGGATAGTCAGCCGCGAGTTCATCCTTAGGGCCACTACTCGTTGATGTCCTCACGAGTAAGTTGGAGAAAACTTAGTTAATGAATGGATCCACAACCTGGTGTACTACGGTGGATATGCTGGCGACATATTTGTATTGCGGATAGCCGGGTATGCATTACAGATCTGTCAGCACGGCTACACGCTGCACACAACAACAAGTGGTTAGAAACTAAGAACATGCCATTCTTAGATGTCCAGATCATCAGGATATACTACGGGGCAGTAGAGAAGTAAGTACAATGGAAGACAACTTCGAGTAACTAGTATCTCCAGTTCTCTAGTTTGGTTCCAATAATTTAGAGACGAAAGTTCGTCCGTTGTCTAACGGAAGGAGTGAAAAGAATACGCACGAAGGACACGCTCTCGGATGAGTTGAGTTTCATCCGGATTGTTATCGAGAAAAATGGTTACCCGGACAAATTCATCCTTAAACACATGGAGTCACGAGTGCTAAAAGTCCAACACATCTGCGCAGAGAAGCGGTTACTCTACTTGTCACTGACTTTCAAGGATGACGTGATAGCGGAACGAGTCATCACGAGAACTGACTTTGCAGCTAACCTTCGTGTCCGCTTCACTTCTACGCTAATCATGAGCCAACAACTCGAGAACGGCATACCGAGGTCGAATATTTCTTTCTCTATGCACCGCTTTTCTTGCTCGAGTCGAGCAAGTTGTATTGGGAAGACGACCAAGCGACTGGCTGAGAGAGTCCAGGAACATTGCTCAGCATGGCTCTACAGTGGCATGAGAAAGACAGCAGTGTGCGCAGTGCTGTGGCACTTGGTCGACTCAAATCACGAAATCAATGTGCGAGAGGCCTTCCAGCCAAGGTACCGGATACTTGGACACCAAACTCCCATGTCGCCTATTAGCGACAGAGGAGGCAATCACTATTCGGCTACATAATCCCAACTTATGGTCCAAAAAGAAGTTTGTCCAGACTCTTCATCTACCCTGGATTCAAGCCGCCCCGTGTGACGACAATGCCGACAAACCCCACAAGAATATTACCCTAGTCAGTGCCATCACTTAATCTCATTGATCGGACAATTTGCTTCACCTTTTTGCCTAGTAGCCGGCTGGTAGCTTACCGGAATGACGCCTATCCGTTGTTGGTAGCTCAGCTGGCATGCAACTGTTGTATTTATTTTCCTTTTCCTTTATGTATTGCGGCACAGTAGCTGAGGTGTTTCCCACCTCTAGCTGACGTATATAATGATGATGATGCCGTCTGATAACGTTGTCTCCGATAATGCATTGCATCGGCGTCCCACAACAACAGTATGGCGGGGATGGATGTCGAGAAGAGGCATCTGACGAGAATTTTTTGTAGAACCATGAGGTCCACACAACAGCAATGCCTTTTCCAGGTTCTGTGCATTCGCTAGCAGGACAGGTAACTTGAACAGGAAATGATCCAACGGAATGAGATGTAGAGACTGGATCGTAAGCTGCTATTGCGACGACTGTGGTGGCTCGGATATGCCCACCATTAAATGAAATTCAGCCAGTCCACTGTAGCCCATCTGCTCTGGAACCCAAGGGACTCAGGAGTTGAGTGTCATGCCTGAAGAGAGTAGGAGTGAAATGGCGCTACTGAAGTGAATAAGTATCAGAACATGACGATCGCCTTCCACCATGGCAACAGGCTAATGGGTGCTCAATTGTGACTGATCTGACCGTTGTATCTAACATTGCATGATGCACAAAATGAATGATTTTAGACTCGTGGCTGCTTGCGGTCATTCCTATTACCAAAAAGACCCAGAGAATGTCGTGCCAACGCCGTCGATGGACTATAAAATGCCCATGAAGATCTAACTAAGCCAGCGACAGGAGGAATGGAAACGAATTCGCAAGTGAACCACAACGAAAAGCCACATTTGCGTTATTTAATTATGGCTTTCCATTGGAGTTGATAGATGGCGTCAGAAGATTCAGTTTACTGTCAGTATTTTCAGGGTGTGTTCTCATCAGTTGTAGCTCAGGAGCCACGAAGAGTAGAATCGGCAGCAGCTTTCATCACTCATCTGTCTGTTCGGGAAAACGAACATTACGATGCTTGCTGATGACATGAATTTCAACTAAAAAACGATACTTACAGTAAAACCACAGAAGTTGATCGCCACTCTAAGTTAACTGGTTTTCTGTTCATTGCTTGAGCGTTCACTATGCCAACCTTATGGATCCATTACCGCTGTATGTTGACCACTTTGGTCCAGTCCCTTGAGTGGTCAACTTACGGAAGATGTACTGTATTGATAAAGATGATGGAATTCTCCTACCTTGTGTGAACTACAGTCCTTACATTTCTAGCACAGCTATCAAGCACTAGGGTTCACATCGCGTCGCGTGGTGTCCCGCAAATGAAACCGTACTGGGAACATAGATTGAGGTTGTCATCATCAGATACAGGTGGCGTGCTCCGACGCTAGATTGTTGTCGATTTGATGCACCCATCTGCAGTCGAGTCAAGGTTTACTGGCCACCCAGATGGCGCTCAATGCTAAGACTGCTTGTAAGCAGTCAGTTGAAATCACAGCTCAACGAGAAACGAGAGCAAAGCCAGCAGCTGAACAAAACTAGCAGAAGTAACTAGAAGGTCGATGCTCTAATACATGTCGTCCGTCTCTGGAGATGTTTATAACTCGTCAACGTGTAACAAGTAGGAGCCATTGGTAATTCGCTTGCTGTGACTTAAGAGTCCGGTTGCGAGATTAGTTTATATAGACACCAAGTGAGCAATCTATTAAACCAAACAGATCATAATCGGTCAAACAACGCCGCTTCTACACCTAAGACGCGCAGCACATAGTGTGAGAGGCCGTTCAGATACTAACAGGTATTGAGAGAAGGTGAAAAGGTTAGGACGTGAAGTTAGGTCGCCCATGTAACAAGCAGAAATTAAAACTAATTGGGCTATGATGACGCCAGACAGAGCCAATGAAAGGTACGCTGATCTATCCATGTATGATATCCATTTCCAAGCAAGTACTTTCCGAAAAACGTACGATAAAACTTAGTGGACTGTGATACGACTGAGAAAAATCGTGATGCCACTAGTCCGAGAGTGCTGTTTGAACTGACCTTATTTAAAGAGGCCATCTGAAGTATAGTGCGACTGAGACGGCACAACTCCTGCAGGACGCCACTGTTCTCAGCCAAAGCCCATATACGGTCACGACTGAAGTAATCCAAAGCTGATGTAGCGTACTGACCGAATTCGTGTAACGAATCGTCTTCAGCCAGTTCGATAAGGCAAATACCAACCAAGCGGCGCCGAAATCTACATCGAGTCGCGGAAGGCCTCTGAGTGTGGAGTGGTTCCATGAGGTTGCCGGTGACGGCTTCAGAACTCTGCGTCATGGACGTGGCCTCAGCACACTGATGATCTGGAAGACTGTTCTGTTTTGGCGACAGTTCATCAGCACAAGAATCAATGCACTCTATGACTGGACTGCACATATCCTCTTCCTCAGCGCTTAGAGTATCCAAAAAGATACGAAGATTATTGTATAGATCTAATATACTACCGAATATAACAACGGCATTTTCTTCGGGAGATTGATGATCATCCGTACCGCTCATAAGCACCGGTTCGCGAAACACGCGCAATATAAGGTTCATTTGTTCCACAGTGGCGTGCAAAAAATCTTCCAGTTCGTCGACACATCTGCAAGAAAAGAAGTGTGGGGAGTGACACCGAACTGTGCCGACAAACCTGATTACGAAGGAGATGAATCCCATGCGAAAAATAGCGAAATGGTAAAAAGCGGTATAGGTAGAGGAGCTTATTGAGAACAAATTAACGGCTAGCTGACTAGATGGGGAAGGACTAAACTAGGTAAAGTGAATGTGTTTGATTACAAGAATGGGTTAGAGCGAAGGGTGTGATAGGTGTGCGAATCGATGGCTAGCACTGGTGTCCTGAGGATGCAAGAGTGCCGCATATTGCGATATAGTAGGGGAAACGAACTATTTTACGCCTGTGGGACGAGTAGAAAGCTAACTAGATGAGCAATTTGAAAAGGAGGAAAACCAGAAGTGTGACGGAAGTGCGGCAATCAGCACCTGAAAATATATCGTTCTTTACCGCGTATCCGAACCCAGAGCAGTCATACGGTGGATGTGGCTGCAGTAATTAAACGTGGTAGAAATGCGCATACATGAGTAATCAGAGGTCGGTAGAATTCACATACCAGATGGGTCATATGTTTGCTAAACCTTTTAGACTAGGTAGGATAGTATACTAATGTTACACCATCGCGACCAAGTTAAACGTGATGCGCTGATTCGTGTGCCTGAGCGATCCAATGGGCTATATTAAGTGGGACATGCCGGGTGCCTTTAGAGTTACTCATGTAAGATGGGTGAGCTGATGAAGCCAAAACCAACTCAGTTTCAATGTCCTCCTCCTAAGAGATTAGGGATAGGTCGATGGCCACTTTGCATCAAAATTTAGTCATATAGGACAACTTGTCAAAGGCTATAAGCTTAGCTAGATTTAAGTACAGCGCAAGTGTCATGCGTAGTCTCTGACAGTAGGACAGCACTGACTGGTGATTAATAGTTTGCTGCCACCCGCCGTAAGTCAGGCAACCTCTGGTCAATAAGATGCAAGCCCCCCCTCCAAATCTTTCCGGCGTTTGAGCGTCGCTGCGGATGAATAATATATACTGCAGTCAAAAAAGCACGCGAATCGCAATGATTCTTTCAAGGCTGCAGGAGGCAAGTCATAAAAAGATCTCCATTGGATCCTGCAATCACATTTCCGAGCTGGACGTCCTCCCTAATGCAATATGGGTCAGACTATTGAATCAAGCGCTCCCGTTGGGGCCCCTCAAGCAATACTCCGTTAGCCCTACCAAACTGTGAGTTAGCTTATTGAGTCAGAGGTTAAAAGTAGGGTGACACGAACGAAATCCTCCTCTAGGAATGAGGAGCCGTGGATATTATCAGCCGAAAAGAACGCTGTCATTATCAGCAACAAAATTACAGTAGCAATTGGAACTGATGCTTCGCTGCCGTACAACCATAATGATGTAGAGGATGAAGAATAACACTAGAGGGAGAAAGAGAATCTGGTACGAAACCTAGGTGCCCTAAACAAACACATGGGATCAAAGCGCCCACACCTTATCAGCAACACTAGACCACAAACAGCTGGCTATCGTGTTGAGACCCCGTCACAAATACTCTATCTCCCTGTTTTCTACGTCTTGCTTTTTAACACTATTCCTCCAGGGTTAATAAGTAAGAGACTACCGTCGAGATCGTAACTGATGATAACGATGCACTTAAGTCGTCCTCACTCTCACTCCAACTTATTCCCCCCTATGACTACGCTCAAGATTAGATCGGTTAATAGGAGCGCCAACTCATTCATCACTTTTTGGAACCGGTGTATGCTGCCTTTGAAGCAACGAATCCTCGATGGACTGAACAGAATCTGCCGGTAGTGGCTATACTCTTCACGTCCCTGGTTTATCGGATTCCGAACAACGTCTAGTGACCGATACATGGCAAATATATGATAGTGCACAATGTTTTCAACTATGTACCGACCACAATGCGTCATGTTAGCGCGACAGAAATTCGCATCACGTCAACTGGAGCTAATCGAACTCCGCCCTGACCTGGACCCAAATTGACCATATTGCCACCAGCTACAGATGGAAACATTGGTTCAAGGCTGTCGATCGATTTGGAGCACGTGCTTGAATTCCAAATGTGCCTTAGTGCACGCACACTTGGTATCGACTTTTCCGGCTACAACGAGGTGATCAACTTCGAGGCTTCGCATTTATAACCGGAAGTCACGGTCCATAACTGAGCGAAATTGCGACGAACCAGCCAAATAGTAGTCGAGGACGAATGGAGTTGGTTAGCCGAATACCAACTGGACTGGTCTTAAATGTGCCATGAGGAGTGCAGTTGACGTCTGTTGTGCGCCCAACTTGAGACATCCGAATCGTGACTGGATTCTAGATGCATTAATCGAGTTAAATAAAGTAGATAAACTGGTTTCGTCAGGTACTCGGTTTCAACGTGTCTGTGACATCCCGAAACGATAACTCATTAGGAACCTTAGAATTGGCCAAAAACGCTGATGAGCGGCAAAAGCCTGTGAGATGGAGAAAGCCAGCGCAATTGTGAACAGCCAAGTACCGTTCCAACTCATCAGGAACACGTGCCTAAAGCGACCCTCAAGTACTGGCAATAACAGAAAGATTGACAATTGATCCATTCACAGCAACGTCAACTGGCGATGAGCAGCTCTGCTGCGACACTCGCTCGGTAAATCACCTTAGCCCACGGGGGAATTCGATGTCACACCTCCCACTCTGGAAATGATTCGACATGAACTAGCCGAGTTGAAACGTAACCAGGCTTTTGGACCCGACGACCTTACTTTATGTTTGCAGCAAGTCCAACTATTTTATGCAAAAGTAGTTGGGACATTTTAGACGTACTATTATGCTGGCAGTTGGCAACCGTCAGCAATATCATCAAAAACGGCAGGAAATTTGGCGAAAACCATAGGGGTTTTAGCCGTATTTTCACTAACTCCAGCTTTCTCACAGGTACCTGTGGTGACCCACTAGTATTCGTAGGAATCGAATTGGTGAGAGACCGGTTGGCTTCCAATCTAGTCGAGGATGCATAAACCACATATTCAATCTTCGTCAAGCGTTGTAGCAGCGTTAGACATAAAGATGACCCGCAATGTTGGTTCTCCTTGATTTGGGAGCAACCTTCGACTCGGTTGATCGTGCCAGTAAATCCCGAAAGGGCATGTACTGGAAACAAGTCTCTCTTATAATTTCTCAGCAACGCGGCGTCCGGGGACGAGTAAGGGTATAAGAAAAGCTGCCTTCTGAGACGCCCACGACAACTAGAGTAATCTAAGGTTTTCCTATATCGTTGTTCCGTTTTGACTATGTGAACAAAATGATAAGTGACCGTGTCCTTTCGATATCTGACAAGTAACCGACCGACACATCTGGAGTATTTCGCTGATATAGCTCCAACTGCGTCGGACCCAGTCCAGACAAGTGCCATGGAATAAAATGATGCGTAACGATGCGCTGTTGAAGGACTGGGTCGACATTCCATCGGTTATAACTGTCACCGAACAGCTACCGGAAAGGATGGACCGACTCAGTTATCTTGACGACTGCGCCACGTGTGATGGTCACACTGAAGTAGACAAAAAGCATACACTACTGCGCCAGTTATCAGAAGCGTGGTGCAAAGATGCGAAACAGCAACCAGCCAACAGCACGCCGTACTGTCTCCCCCAAAGGAAAGGAACACTTTGGAACCGCAGTTGTGTGCGCATGAGGAATGGGCGTATAAGCAATGCAAACCACTCAGCTACTGGACATAAAAAGAAACCCGCACCATGCAATCGCCAACCGGGATGATGAAGATGGGTAGATGTCTAGTTTGTCGGAACGGATGCTCTTAGTATTAGTTATGGCTGCACAGTGAACACTCCCATCTGCATCTCGGGTTCAAACATTGGTACCGTGATCAACCGAGATGCATCGCTAAGATCCCTGGCCGGAGTCGTTTAGAAAAGGGGATATGAGGACCTTCTTGGGAGACTTCGATGTGGCGGAGGCAGTTGGGGTAAAGACCGAGCAGGCGAAGCTGGTGGCACTGCGGAGTCTCCTCAAGCGCAGGGCGAAGACAGTTTTGGAGGCGGCGCGAAGAGGTCCCGTCAAGTTGGGGTGGGCTGCCGCGAAGGATGCGTCGGTCTCCGGATTGGTCACACCGGACGACCGCCAGGAAACGATGCGGCGGTTCAAGGAAGCGGTGCTTGGTGTAGGGGCGGATCCCCTCGTGTTTGCAGCCCACGTCAGGAGCTTGTCAGATCGAGCCTTGCCGGGAATGGACGAGCCGTCAAAACACCAGTTACTGGTGGACCATCTTATGACCGGTCTCCCACAGCCAACCGCGGAGCACGCCCAGATTGCGAATACTACTCGAGGGATGCGGCTGGAGGAGTTGCTACAGGTTACTCGGGAGTTGGGCGACGCACCACTCGCTGCGCTGAAGGAGGAACCACATAAGGTCGTGGAGCGGATGGATAAGTTGGAACGGATGATGGAACAGCTCGCGGAAGACGTCAATAGGCTTCACATTCAGAGCTGGGAGGAGCGAACAAGGGGATGTTACTTCCTGTGCAGGAAACCGGGACAATGGAAAAGACTGTCCGGGGAGGCGTGCTGTTACTCGTGTACCAAATAAACGCATTCCACCTTGTTTTTCTTTTCGGATCTCGGAATGTGTACTCGGGGCGCTGAGTACGGGGCGATCGAAGCAATGGTGGAAGTAGTGCGAACGATGGTACGAGTGCAGCGGTGTCACTGATCAACCACCAGTGGGGCGAAAAGCTTCAACTGTGCTCCGTGGACGTGAGAGCTATTGGCGGTCACTCTGTGGGCATTGATGGTATGGCCGAACACATCGTGGGAGTCGGGGGACGGAAACGAACGCATGTTTTTATCGTGTCGCCAGGTGAAACAAACCATAATGGGGACAGATTTCCTTGAGTTCAATAAGGCTATCGTCGATCTAAAATGTGGGAAACTGTTGACTGAATGAGGGTCGTTGCCAAGCATGGGCTGTGGAGAAACGATATCTCTGCAATCGGTCGTTACCGCG